CAAAAAAAAAATGTCTGTACTTTTTATGAGACATAATATGTTATCAGTAGTATTTTTGCTTTCTGGTCACGAATCCAGTGTCAGAATTGAGCTATCGCATGACAGGAATTTCCTAACCTCAAAACAGTTCAAAAATAGCAAAAATTCACGAAAAAGTGCTAGGAAAACACAAAACAATGTTTTTTTCTATATTCAAATGTTCATTTATATGGATAAAACCCCGCCGAACGTGAAACATAATTGACGATTCTTTTTCTATCCTCAAAAAAACGTGTCAATTAAGGTCAGATTATCACGATTTTTTAAAAAATAACAGATTCGCGCCAAATTTGGTATACGGGGGATTTTGAAATCGCTGATCACGGATCCGAGGTCAATTTTGCTAAACTCAAGATGGCGGATTCAACATGGCCGACTAAATTTTCAAAAAATGACACATTCGCGCCAAAGTTGGTATACGGGGGTTTTTCGGGGTCGCTGATCACGGATCCGAGGTCAGTTTTGCAAAACTCAAGATGGCCGACGAAATTTTCAAAAAATAACACATTCGCGCCAAATTTGGTATACAGAGGTTTTCGGGGTCGCTGATTACAAATTCGAGGTCTGAATTGGGAACTTCATTCTTCACATTCACTACTTGATAACTTAAGTACCCAATCATATTTTAGCCTTCTTGTTTCGGTTTTATCTTATTCTTTTTACTGTAAAAGACCTATTCATGGGTTTTTTGCCTAACCTCACATAATAAAGTACATAGGTAATTGATTAAATTTTTAAAAACGGATTTTGTAAATCTGATCTCGGGTTTGTGATCTGTAACCCCGAAAGCCCCCGTATAAGTACCAAATTTGGCGCGAACCTGTTAGTTTTTGAAAATTCGTGATATCTGACCTTAATTGGATAGTTTTTTTGAGGTTAGAAAAAGAATCATCAATTCTGACCGCGAATTTACGTTCGGCAGGGTATTAACCATATAAATGAACATTTGAATATTTCTTTGCACTTCTTCGTGAATTTTTCCTATTTTGGGCCTATTCCTTGAGGTTAGGAAATTCCTGTGATGTGATAGCTCAGTTCTAACACCGGATTCGTGGTCAGGAGGCAAAAATACTACGAATAACATATGTCGCATGAAAAGTACAGACAACTTTTTTTTGTGTGGTTGTGTATTTCACAGGTATTTCTTTTTTAAATACATCAGTTTTTATTTAACTACATACATAAGTTTATTTATACATTAGTTTTGTTTCATACACTATTAGGTAGCAGCAAAAAGTTTATGTAAATGTGGGTGATTCACGTGTGTACACTCTGTATGTATGTATCGTAACATGAACATTATAAGATTAACATGAATATTTCATTGCTCCTTGCAATCGGACACCTGTTCGTTTGGAATTGATGAATAAATAAATAAAATAATTCAAACAATTCTAAACCGACTGAAATGTCAGCCTAGCTCCTTTGCTCGTTATCAAGCAGTAATTCTATAAATTTTCATCCACCTTGTCGTATTCCTTCTCAACTAACAATAAGAAGGCTGTAGAAACTCTTCACTTTCACAGTCTTAGAAATAGTCCAAGCATTATAGAGAAATGCTTACAGAAATTATTACCTGGACAAAAAAATATGACCGTATAGAAAATTAAATTTTAAATAAAGTTTCTTGTTCTTTAAACTCGATCCAAAATGGCGAACATGGTTAAAAAAATCGCAAAGTTGCGAAAAACGGTTTTTTTAAAATAACTAAAAAAATATAAAACCGATTGAAAAATTTTAAATGAGAAAGTTGTAGGTATTAAATAGATCGAGAAGTATCGATTGCTTTGTTACTTTCCGAGATATATCGAAAAAAAACGTTAAAAATCTTCTCTTTTCTCTTCTTCTATAACTCGTTTAGATTTACGTTCTAATATTTGCTATTTACTGCAAGCATAGCTCGCAGCAAGCCAAAAAAGAACAGTTTTGAAAAATTTTAAAATATTAATTGTTTTTCGAGATACATCGATATATTTGAAAAAAAGGCGCTCTCGAAAATTGGCTAATCTTCTCAGCGGATAGCCCTACAGTTAACGATTTTTGGTTTCTTTTCTTCGTAAAGAGTTATATTATCATGCTGTTGAAAAATATTGACGATTTTATTAATTTTAAGGATCAAAAATTGACTTTGAGTATGTTTTTCGCAAATAACTATTTCAATTTCTATTTTATGAAAATGAATTTTAAAGAAAGAAACTGCTGACATTTTTTCACAAATTTAAAAAACAAAAATGTTTTTCTACGACCTTCTGGAGCCGAGATAATTTTTTTATTTAAAAAAAATTTTGAGAACGCAATTAACATTTTACAGCGATGCGCTTAATGGGGGTTAATATTGAATACTTATATTTTCAAGAAAAAAAAAAATAGGATATGTTTACTTGATTTTTAGTATTAATAATTGTGTAATAAACTGAAGCGTGCAAGCGGAGAGTGCGTCAGCTGGACCGGAGGGAGAAGTAGGGGGTAGCGGCGCTCGCTCGCTCTGAAAACTGATGACGTGCAGTCTAAATGGCTCGCGCTTGCAAAATCTAATATCTCGGCTTCTAGACCACGTAGTCATTTTCGTCTTAGAAGCAAAATAGTCCCGTAAATGTTTAGTTTTTATTTAATTTACAATTTTTTTCATTTATCGTCATTTTAATAATTAATAATTACAGTATTTACAACTATGTATAAAATCTCTATAAAATTATTACAATAAAAACTAACAAGTATCCTATATAGATAAAATTATTTATCGAATGAAATTCTTCTTTTCTTTGTCGGATTGTCCTCTGATTCATTTTCTTGTTCGTCGTCCATATTTTCATACAATAAAAGTAAAAAAAAAATATAAGTTAAATAAAAACTAAACATTTACGGGACTATTTTGTTTCTAAGGCGTAAATGACTATAATAGTCGTGTTTAGCTACCCCAGATTAAGTACTAAAGAATATTTGTACGTGACGTGGTCCAGAACCCGAGATATCAAAGATTTTGCAAACGCGAGCCGTTTAGACTGCACGTAAACATATCCTTTTTTTTTTTTTTTTGAAAATATAAGTATTCAATATTAAAACCTCCATCAAGTGCATCGCTGTAAAATGTTAATTGCGTCTTCAAAATTTGAAATAATAAAATTTTCTCGGCTCCAGAAGGTCGTAGAAAAACAATTTTGTTTTTTCAATTCGTGAAAAAATGTCAGCAGTTTCTTTCTTTAAAAGCCATTTTCATAAAATAAAAATTGAAATAGTTATTTGGAAAAAACATACCCAAAAAAAGTGCAACTTTTCAGTCATTTTTTGACCCTTAAAATCAATAAAATCGTCAACATTTTTTAACAGCATGATAATATAACTTTTTAAGAAGAAAATAAACGGAAAATCGTCACTGTAGGGCTATCCGCTGAGAAGATCTAGCCAATTTTCGAGAGCGCCTTTTTTTAAAAAAATCGATATATCGAAAAATACGAACGCGGAGGCCACNTTGTACTTGTTGCTGGATTTTTAACAATTACTTCATCATTTCAATAATTAATTAATTTTGGTGTAAAATAAGTGTAAAGAATTTAATTTATTTACAAAAATATTTAATAATTTTACAACTATGTATAAAATATCTATAAAATTATTACAATAAAAACTAACAAGTATCCTATATAGATAAAATTATTTATCGAATGAAATTCTTCTTTTCTTTGTCGGATTGTCTTCTGATTCATTTTCTTGTTCGTCGTCCATATTTTCGTATAAGTAAAAAAAATATAAGTTAAATAAAAACTAAACATTTACGGGACTATTTTGTTTCTAAGGCGAAAATGACTATAATAGTCGTGTTTAGCTACCCCAGATTAAGTACTAAAGAATATTTCTACGTGACATGTTCCATAACCCGAGATATCAAAGATTTTGCAAACGCGAGCCGTTTAGACTGCACGTTCATCACTACTTCTCCATCCGGTCCAGCTGACGCACTCAGCACTTACACGCTTCAGTTTATTACTCAATTACTAATACTAAAAATCAAGTAAACATATCCTATTTATTTTTTTTTGAAAATATAAGTATTCAATATTAACACCTCCATCAAGTGCATCGCTGTAAAATGTTAATTGCGTCTTTAAAATTTAAAAAAATAAAATTTTCTCGGCTCCAGAAGGTCGTAGAAAAACAATTTTCTTTTTGCAATTCGTGAAAAAATGTCAGCAGTTCCTTTCTTTAAAAGCCATTTTCATAAAATAAAAATTGAAATAGTTATTTGGAAAAAACATACCCAAAAAAAGTGCAACTTTTTCAGTCATTTTTTGACCCTTAAAATCAATAAAATCGTCAACATTTTTTAACAGCATGATAATATAACTTTTTACGAAGAAAATAAACCGAAAATCGTCACTGTAGGGCTATCCGCTGAGAAGATCTAGCCAATTTTCGAGAGCGCCTTTTTTTAAAAAAATCGATATATCTCGAAAAATAATTAATATTTTTAAATTTTTCAAAAATGTACTTTTTTGGCTTGCCGCGGGCTATGCTTGCAGTAAATAGCAAGTATGGGAACGTAGATGTAAACGAGTTATAGAAGAAGAGAAAAGAGAAGATTTTTAACGGTTTTTTTCGATATATCTCGAAAAGTAACAAAGCATTCGATACTGACAAAAAATCAGTCGATAGATCTTTTTAAAACCTACAACTTTCTCATTTAAAATATTTCAATCGGTGCTATATTTTTTTTAGTTATTTTAGAAAAACCGTTTTTTGGAAATTTGCGATTTTTTTTAACCATGTTCGCCATTTTGGATCGAGTTTAAAGAACAAGAAACTCACTTTAAAATTTAATTTTCTATACGGTCATATTTTTTTTGTCCAGGTAATAATTTCTGCAAATTTATCATTAATCCGTGACAGGATGCTTGGACTAAAATAGCATCCTACGAATACCTCTCACATCCATTATAAACTTTATAATTAGAAATTTGTTGCAGGTTCAGTATATCCATCTTCATAATACCCCTCCTGGTGCTGGTATACACCTATTCCTGTATATGCAGAGAAATCTGGCAGAGTTCCGAATCCAGTCTAAGACCACGCAGCTCCCAAAGATCCGCACACAACAGAAGGACCCCTTTCATCTCCAGGGCGAAGATTAATACTGTTAAACAAACCATTGCCGTTATCGTTATGTACATAATTTGCTCGACGCCATTCATAGTAGCTCAAATCTGTGCAACGATATACCCAGATAGTCCGTTTTATGATGGTAAGTAATGAACACCTGTTGCTATTCAGTTATACAAGATGATTCACAACATCCAAATTATTTTGGGAATATATGCACTATTGGAAATAGAACCAATGTTACAGAAAAATTTTTAATAGCATATTTACAGAAAAATACGTTTGAGATATATTGTTATGGGTATAATTTGTGTTTGTGTATGCGCCAATCTTTTTATGTATAATAATATGTAATTTGTTTGTATAACGGTTTTGTTGTAATGTTGGATGTCTAATTTGCCCTGTCTAGCTCTCGACCCTTCTCAGTAGTAGGTTCAAATGAAGGTATAACTCAGCATGAAACCACACAACACACCACACTAAACAAAAGATGTTATTTAGAAATTATTTTTTTATATAGCAATAAAAATCCAATATGGAATGTCAAACACAGTTAAAGAATATTCTGAAATCTCGTACAATATTTCTAACACTTTGAACAAGATTTTATCGATGTAGTTACTTTAATTGATTTTATGTATTATTGGTTGCCTGCACTGTAAAAATTTATTTTTTATCGTATAATTTCTTATTCAATGTGTTATTACTTATTTCTAATATTAATATCTATAAAATTAAAAAAAGAATGGCCAAATTTTGATGATTATTTAGATAGTGAAGTTAAATTTATTTGATATGAAAATTTTTACTTAAATATAAGTATGAAAATTTTGTATTCTACCCTTTTTATTGTACTTTTCAATATATGTTAGCTAGCTATTTCGTATACGATGTTTGGTCTACTTTGTGCACAAAAACGACAAGAAAAGGTACCTTTCTGTATGTCTTATTGCTAGATCAATTGTCGACTGGCTTCCCGCGTTTACTCTGCCTAGATATTGTTCTCTGGAATCCTCGTCTTTCCACTCTCGCTGGATTTCTGGAACCTGCTGCTGCTACTCCGCTCTCACCAGATTCCCGGAATCTGCTGCTGTTACTCCGCTTTCACTGGATTTCCGGAACCTGCTGCTGCTATTCCGCTTTCACTGGATTTTCCTTGAGTCACTTTTCCAATACAATTACTTCTATATATTTGGTTTCTCCCAATTTGCTTCTTTTAACAACTTTCTCACGATAACTGATTCTATTTTATCTGGTTTTATCAATTAACTTCTGCAACACTTCTTTGACAAATTTTTTCGGTAACTATTCAATAATCTCTCGATTTTTTTCTTTTTACTCTCTTGATTTCTTCTTCCTTGTTAGGGCCTTTCCACATATATGCCTTTTCTTTTTAAATGCCGTTTCCCTTTTACACTTCACGTCACTTCACTTTATACTTTACAAATTTACAAACCCATTCTAGTTTCTTTACAAAAATTTTAAATTACGTTTCAAAATATTTCTTATTTCTATAATTTTATTTGGCTTTTATATGTACTATTTTATGCCTTGTGGATCCAACTTTAATTTTGACATTTACCTGACATTTTCATCTTATTGATATATAAATTTTACTTTAGACCTTAATATATTTCGCTACTTATTTTTCTAACTCATCTTACAACTATTTAATAAAACTATGACATTTTAGCTTTTGTTTGATATATGTCACTTGCGATTTCTAATTAATTTTAATTATGTTTCTCCAATAACATCTTTGGCATGTACCCTATTTGACCAAAATGATAATATTTTTATACTTGAATTCTTGAAATTTATTCTGTTCTAGTAATCCGACTCTCTGCTAATGATTCATAAGACCTATTTAATACTAATAATTTTTTTTTATCAAATATTTTTCTTAGTTTTATAACTATTTTTTATATTTCAACCTTTCTCTTTACCGTGTTGTATTTAAGTAGAATTTTAATTTAACTTTTAAATTGCTCTCAATAATCTAATTTCATCTCAGTATATATCTACACTTGAGTATTTAACAGACTATATTGTGCATCTTAACGTTTTATTATTTTATATTTTTTTTTGTAATTTACATCAATGCATAGTTATGGGATATTGTTTTAAATTATGGTGAAGCAAGTCAAAGTGCATACTCAGCTTCTCCCTAATACGCATAATGTTCTTCAGGTAAATATGCATTAAATGCTGCTTTGTTTACAGAGTTGATTGAGGACATAAAAAGTGTTTGCAACCTAATTGTGGAAGAGGTAGAAAATATTGTAATTGCCTACAAAATATCTCCGATTTACTCTTGATATGTTAGTTACAGATGAAGTTGTGTTTACGCGAAATGGGAAAAATAATGTTTACAACACACATGGTGTGAACTTGAAAATCCGCATACTCTTGATCAACGAATCTTGATACAAAATGTTATTTTTTACATTTTTACATATTCTATTGGAATGCTTCTTTAGATTCAGTGATTAGCAATGGCAATTGATGAATATGCTATAAATATGCATATATGCCATAAACAAAATATATTTTCGTTCAATTACTTTAATATAAAAGCACAGACAATATAACTTATCGCCACAGATCGCGCTTTAAATGTTGGAAAATGGCAATCTAAAATAGATGCAGGGTCTTGTTAGCTGGCATCCAACAATAAAATTTAGCGTGGTAATTCTTTTACTCGGTAAAAGGAGGCAATTCTAGCGGTGGCTTTGTTGTCAAATAATAACTGCCAAATAAATTTAATTCATTTAATTAATGTAATTGAAGAGTTATATGGAACATATCTTTTGTTTGGAAATGACATTTGTGTTAAATGCTAAATAAAACAAATCAAGTTAGAATTAAAACTATGAATCTACCTAATTAATTACTTATTTCAAAAAAATAAAAAAAATAAAATTTCCTTAAGAATAGTACCTTAATTTTTTATTTAATAAAATTGTTGGAACCTCAAGGGGTGGTTGATACGAAATTTATTTAAAAAAAAACAACAAATTATTATCAATCAATGAGAGGTAAGCTAGCGTTCGCTCACACACTGTTCGTCCCGATTTTTTTTTCTAACACGCGGACTTCGGACGTTTTTCACTTGATTACCAATCAGAACCATGAGAGATTTTTTGATATTTCGAGTCATTTCCGTGGTACAAGCAAATAAGTACAGTTTTTTTTTCTTTCATATATTCTGACACCCCGCTGTGCCTTAGATAGCAGAGACAGAGAGAGAAAAGCTCTCTATGAAGTGACAAAGTCACTCTATCTCTATTGCACACTATAACTCTACCTCTCTCAGACAAAAATGACAGAAACGAACCTTTCTTTAAAAATACATGGTGTTTATCATTATCAGAATAACCCTTTTTAATTAAAAAAAAAATGAAATGGGTTATTCTGATGACAAAAAATAAAACATAAATAAACTGTACTATTCAAATAATAATAATGTGCAAAAGTTCTTAAGGAATGTCGGCAAATTTATTTTGGAGGACGAATCCCGTCAACGAACACTATAAAAAATATTACTAGAAACCTTAGGTGGCCAGAAAACAGCTCCGATCTCAGTCCTTTAGACATATTTTTGTGGGGACACTGCAACAAAATATATTATTAAAGACCTTAAAATTTACAAGTATTGAAAGAAAACATACAGGACGAAATGTTTCATAATTCTGAATTTAAATATAATTCAGTTTTAATTCTGTTTTAAATCATAGTAAATGAAAGCATATTTTCAACTGTATCATTACGATTACTTGCAAGTTGAAAATTTGTAAAAATTGTAGGTATTTTAATGTTATTTCGTTTTTAGGTATTCTCCTTATGTTGTAAAGGCTAGTTATAAAAATCATTGTTTGTTATTTCAATAAGGATGAATTTTAATTTTTTTAATGATTTCTTTACTTTGAACATATATTTTATGCCAGCAAATTTTGATGTCAAAAGAAATAGGAAAAGTCGTACATTTGTATTTAAAGTTTTTTTCTATATTTAATTATTAAACCTATAAGTGAATGTAAAAATACAAAAAAAAAACTGTAACTACGTTCCGCGACGTACTAGTAACCTACGTTGCATATTAAATAAATTTATTATCAACAAATATTAAAAAAATTATTACAAGCTGTTTAAAGTATCATTACTTACGAATTTTGTTTATTTGGAAATATATTTTCTGCTGTATATCAGTACCAAAAAATGAAAATAGTACTACTAGTAATAAAACTACACAGATATTCGTTGATTCTTTAAAACATTTTTATCAATACCTACATCATACATTCAAGTAAATACAGTAACGCAAAAAATAGATATTGATAAAAAAGTGTATAAAATAAATCCGTAAGTACGTCTGGCAACATTGTCAAAGTGTTGTTTATATGTTGCTAGGATACACGTAGGAATGCGGGCCACTGCATTTGATTCTTCCTAAAATTCTGCTGGTGGCGTACTCTATCGACAATGCAATTCGGACATTTAAAACTGCTGTCCCATTCCAGTAGCGGTTTGGGGCGAAGCTATATTGTCTGTGATAAAAGTGTCCTGACAAAATATATAAAAATGTATAAGGTTTTTATTTAAGAAATTATAAGTCTAAACCACATTCCTTTTTAATGTAGCGTACTTTTCTGTTTTAAAAAGTACGGAAAATTTTTATTAAGGTAAGTAGCTACTATGACTATAGTAATCTAATAGATGACCCTGAACACAACTAAAAGCCAGTCTAGGAAAATATTCTGGTACCTACATTGGTATAATTGTTTATTTTCACATCCTTTTAAAGGAACTCGCTTATTTCAGACCCTGTATATCTAAGTGCTCCACATAATTAAAAACAAAATATCTCGTATATTTCTTATTGAGACAATCTTTCCGATAAACTATTGACCCTACACAAAATAGAAAACCGCTGCAATTTGATATTTTAATGTGTTTCTGTAAGGGCTGTAATTTAATCTGTGGGTAAACCTGTTTGCCTTCACATTAAATAACGTAACCCTTCATACCTTGTTTATTGTGTCAACATGAACCTATGTGAATTTTGTAAATTTTTTAATATGATGTTATTACGCACGCCTTGTTTCTGTTGTGTCTTCCAAGTTGTGTTTATTCAGCGCAACA